AGGGAGGTAGCCTATAATACAAGCTATCGTCCGGTACCCACAAATACATCATACTCCTCTTCATGCCCGAGAACGAGCTGTTGGCGCGAGGGGTGGCTTAAGCGTTCGTTAATTGGCCGGTTTACTCTACTGCTCCCTCCAGACATGATGGATGGATGAACGCCTCTTTAACCCGTCAATGCCAGCTACGGGCGCCTTCTCAAAGTCAACGGCGGTAGATATGTGGCTGATTGTCTTGGGCAGGAAGACACCGTTTGCTTGTGGGAGGTGAACAAACTCCCTGCTGGTGATGAAACGACGAGCATCGTGTGAACGATCATTGCTACAATGGATACTGATCGCAAGCAAAAAAGATAGGTGCCTCGTCCGGGTACCGCCATCTCCTTTTCGATTCGACACGGGTTGGCGTTGGCGGCAGACGAATCGCTGACAAATGGCATCACTCGGGAGGGGGGTGTAGTGGGGCCGGCCGTGAACTTTGATGGATAGGGCCACAAGCAGCGATGTGTGTGGCACGGGAGATCTGCCTCTATCAAGGCTGTAGTTCAGGCGTTTCGGGTCTGCTGCATTGATGTTTGAACACACCAACACGCGATGATATCGTTTTTTCCTCCTCCCTCCCCGCCGCCGCCCCCGGTGTTTGCCATCGGGGTTGGGTTCTCGTCGCTTGGCAACGACGTTGTAAAACAAGCCGCCCCCCCCGGTGTTTGCCATTGGGATTGGGTTTTCGTCGCTTGGCAACGACGTTGTAAAACAAGCCAATTCACTTCGTGAACTCGGCAACCAGGTTACCGTTTTTTTTTTTACCTCCGTTTTTTTTTTTGGCGGTAACCATAATGGTGGTCGAGTAGATCATGTTGTGCGGGGTGGAGAACCCTCACTCCGCGCAAGGGGGATGATCGCACCACGTTGTGTTAAAATGGTCAAGCACCCTCGAGGCAGTTACACAGTGCTTACAACTGTCTCTGGAAGTGAAAGCACCAGAAAATAAATTAAGTCATACGCAGCTGTCATCCGTACGCAAGGAAGTAAGCACAAGATGCCGAACACTAATAGCAGGATGCAGCGCGCCCTTCATGCGACTCGCCGAATACCTCACGGCGCTTCGCGCTTGGTGATGTGAGAGCCTGGTCCGGTGAGAACCCGGCGTGCTCCGTCCCGGCTTTGTAGGGATGCGAGGTCAATGGTCTAACGACTACGGCATGCACGACTATGAGTACACCCCCACCCCCACCCACCCCAAACGCTGCACCATTGCACCAACCCCCCACTAGTGATGACGTACCATTACAATGTATCGCTGGTTGGTGGCCATGTTTGCGTGTTTGCTTGTCGTTAGTGGTCTTTCCACCGTGTGCCTTTTCCTGTCTCTTATTTCGTGTTATTTTCGGCCTGGTCCCTTCTTGTCCCCGCTCTTTCTATTTCATTTTCTCGATCCTTACTGTTTCCTTTTATTTTCTTCTCTTTTTCTCTTTTTCTCTTTTCTCTCTTTTTCTGTGCCAGATGGCCTTGTTTCTGCTTGCGTTGTGAAGTACAAAGATTGAACCAAGGGGGTGTACCTCATTCTCTCCGGCCCGTGATGGTGACTCCTAGTCTCAGTTGTTACCTCGCATAGCGCGCAGAGGGAGTGGAGGACTCCAGAATATCTGTCGTTGATTTCTATTGACTTGCGGACCCCTCGGGGCCATTTTATTTGAGTGTACCTTTTTAGGGTAAGTTAGCCTGCGACCACGGGAATCGACCGCGTCGAGTGTTGCATCAGTACGAACATGCGAAGGTACTGGGTAGAGAGAGATCGGAACGGTTTTTATTGTGAAGACAACAACAACAACAAAGACTGACTGTGGACCACCGCAACACACACCTCCTCCCCTCCCCGGCCTGCTCCCCGGCCGGGGCCGAAATCGACCTTGTGAGTCCCTCGCGGGCGAACCAGGCCACAACAGATAGTAGGCGGGTGGTGTCCCAAGGTGCAACTCACCGCCGCGCTGGCTCAGCGTGGCGGTGAGGATGCACAGACGGTGGTATTGGCGAGAGGTGTGCATGGGCACTGTTCCCGCGGCAGTAACGCAAAGCGGCAAACTGCACCTGGTAACCACCGTCGCGGAAAGCGTGGCTCACGAAGCTGGAGGAGTAGAGAGATTCGTAAACACCACGTGAGTAAGCGCCGCTCGCGGGAGAAGAGAGACAGCCGCGGGCACCGCGGGGAGGGAGCGCTGCACCCTCCTCGTCAATTCACCACCGGCAAGAACCGACCTCTGCAGAGATGGATCGATGCGAGGAAACTCGCCGCTCGGAAAATACGGAAGAAAGCACACCCGCAACGCGAGGCGAACCGAGAGGGACACGAGACCGCAGCGGCCGTCAAGACGGCTGCGACGAAGAAGGCAAGGGAGGGCGACCTATCGTTCGGCACGTTCAACGTACGCACGCTCGCCTACAGTGGTAGGAATCCCATCGGTCACAACGTGATGACGGTCATGCAGATCTGTACCGCGACCGGCTGTGATATGATAGGACTGCAGGAAACGAGAGGGGCAAGGTTCGATTGCACACGACGGGTACGTGATCATCTGGAGTGGCGCTCGTGCTGGCACCACGGACAAGAGGGGCGTACACGGTGTGGGCATAGAGATCAAGGAGGCCATGTGGGAGAATGTGAGCGAGCAAGGTAGGACGGTGGAGTGCATTAGGCCGAGGCTGATGAAGGTGCGTCCATAAATTGGCCGCACCTGCGGAGTAACCTTCGTGGTGAGGCACGCCCCCACGGAAACTGTCCGCAACACCACGGGCGGTGATGTTAATGCCAAGAACTCCTTCTGGACTGCTCTCGACGCAGCGATCCGAGAGGTTCACAGCCGTGACCATCTCGTGGTGCCAATGGACGCCAACGCACGCACTGGTAGGAGGCGACATTATGAACAACAACGGGGAACGACTCCTTGGACTGGCATCAGACAGCCAACTCTCCCTGACCAACACCTACTTCCGGACACCGAAAGGTGGAGTGTAGCACACATTCCAGAGCTCCAACAAGGGGAAGGAGAAGTACCACCTCGACTTCATCCTCATGCGTCAGACGAACCGGTGTCTCGTACGTAATGTCTCCGTCAAACGTGTCGACTTCAAGGACTCTGACCACAACCTCATGCTTACGACTGTCCGCCTCCCCCCCCGTGTCGCACCCAACCGACGATTGCGAGGGAACAGCGGAAGCAGCCGGATCCGTATCGATCTCGAGCGGTTAAGGAAGGACAAACACCAACGGGTCGCCTTCCAAAACAGGGCCTCCAGCCGCCCTCCGCCCACGGCGCTCAGGCGGCCAACGGGAGAGACCGCCGCCGAGCTGACGGCTACGGTGATGTCGGCCGCCGCTGAGACCGCGCCGCTAGTGAGGTGCGCAAGAGGGCAGAGAGGCTAGTACGCGAGCGAAGCGCAGCACGAGATCTCCGAAGCGATTAAAGAGATTAAGGCGGTCCAGCAGCAACTGCGTGGGGCCTCAAAGAACAGCGCCTTCGAGGCGACCCTGAAGGCGATGCTCAAGGCGGCGCGGAAGAAGCGCAGCATCGCGAGGTGGAGAGCACTGGAAACGTTCTTCGAGTGCTATGTACGGCAGCTCGAGGGCAAGAGCCGCGAGGGGAATCAGGCGGGTTTCTACAGGCACCTGAAGATGATCGACGTCGAAGGTAAGAGGTCGTTCACCTCTCAGAACATCAAGGACGAGGACGGCAAGGTCCTTCGGGACCCCACGTTTATTCGCCAACGGTGGGCACGGTGGTTCCACAAGCTTCTCAACACCAAGTCACCGACCATCGACCTGCATGCGGCTGACAAGGTCAAGCGGTAGCCCATGTGCTTGCCACTCGACGACATCCCATCTCTACTCGAGGTTGGGGAAGCGGTACGGGAAACGGCCAACAGAAAGGCCGTCGGGCCGGACGACGTGCCGGCTGAGCTGACCAAGCTTTTCCTGGACGGAGATCAAGGTCGCCTCCGCGAATTCCACGCCATCGTCGTGGACGTGTGGCAGACGGGGGACGTACCACAGCAGTGGAAGGATGCCACC